ATCCAATTGATAAAAAAATAAGTTGATAGTACAAATGTGACAAAAGACATTTAAATGACATTAAAATAGTCCTGTTTGCTGATGGTGTGTTTGTCTTGCAGGTGTATGTGATGAAGAGGCCGTACGTGGACGAGTTCCTGCAGAGGATGGGAGAGCTGTTTGAATGTGTGCTGTTTACAGCCAGTCTCGCAAAGGTACTTTACAGCAGATACTTAAAATAGATATTTTCTCCAGCTCTCAGTATCTGATGTCCGAAGTCTGATCTGTCGGAGCTTGTTCTGTTTTTTCTTGTCCTCTAGTTCTCCTTTCACTGTGATAGCAGCTGCTTAACATGCTGTTAGCCACCTCAGTGTTCACCTTGCTCACATTCAAAGCTATAGTTTGTTTCTGCGCTCATGTTGTAATTCTAACTAAGCCTAGTTATAAGGTAGATGGAGATATATGCATACATACATTTTAAAATGGGTTGCACAACTCAGCAGAGAGTTGTAAATACTTACACAGCCAAAGTGGAAGTTCAAGATGCTACATGGCTAACTGAACCAGCTGCCAAAACCAATGTTAGCTTGCAAACACATGACTCGTTAAGATTAAAGATGAAGAGGAAATATCACATGGCCCACATATCTGAAGTTTTTAATCATAATGTAAACTGGTGCCATTTTGAATGATTTAGTAACAATAGTGCAATTCATTTCCGATAACCAAACTTTATCCAAAAATGCTAAATACCTCTCCTGAAGTTAGCATAACCATATATTTACCCCTCCTTCTATAATGTAAAAGACTCTGAAAGACATACATTTATTTATCAGCAAATTAAATAAACATAAAGCCTAAAGCTGATTGTTGACAGCTATTTTAAAGCTTGTGATATTACTTAAGTTTTATTGGTGTTAAGTCAACCTAAATTAAAGTAGTTTACAGTTACTAAGAACGTAAAGATGACTAAACAACACAAACATATCTGTTGTTGCAACCTAATCCACATGATTACAGTTTGTATGTGTGATGCTATTTCTTAGCTGATTGCTCTCTGATAGCTATTACCAACCATCAGTAGAAAGTGCTTCATTAGTCCAACCTGCCTCTCCTCTCCCCTTCATCAGTATGCAGACCCAGTGACGGACCTGCTGGATCATTGTGGTGTGTTCAGGACCCGGTTATTCCGGGAATCTTGTGTATTCCACCAAGGCTGCTATGTCAAAGATTTGAGCCGCCTGGGCCGAGATCTCAACAAAACCCTCATCCTGGATAACTCCCCCGCCTCCTACATCTTCCACCCTAATAATGCTGTGAGTTTCCATCAATACTGTCTGTAATATCTCTTTGTGTTCAAAATAGCTTTTACAAATGTGATGAATCTTATAATTTTTCCGTCAATCAAAGGATGTGACACCTGATCTAAGATCTGTTTCATCCTGCTCACAGAGGCTTTCAGGCACAAGTTGTTTGTACTAAAGCATAGATCTTATGTTCCCAATTGATTTGAAAGATTTATAATCGACCTCAAGCTCGATGAGAGGATGTTTGGTAATGTGAGATTAGCTTCTTTCTTCAATGTTTAAGAAAAAGAACCATGGTCAAGTGTATTATCAATGACGTCCCGATAACGGCTGCAACAAATCATTGGTAATAATCATTAAATCGGCAGATTACTTAATAATAAAAGTTGTATTTTATTGCTTGTAATATGGTGCAAAATTGTGAAAAATACCAATCATCACACAAACGTCTTTTATTTGTCTTACCCACTCCCAACAACAAAGACTGACTTGATTTTATGGCTTGAAAAATTAATTAAAAAGTTGATCGTTTGCCAATAAGGTCTCTTATTGTGTCAGTTCTAATCCTAAATGTAGAGGAATGTACACTCCAGATCCACTATACATTAAAGATTGATTAAAATAGGTTAAATCTATATTCATTTGTATCAGAACTGGACTGACAACACTCTCAGGGGATGTTTTTATGATTATTCTGTTTAAAGCCAACAGTTTGTGAGTGACTCTTTGTCTTGGCCAGGTTCCTGTGGTCTCATGGTTTGATGACATGGACGACGCTGAGCTGCTCAACCTTCTGCCTGTGTTTGAGGAACTCAGTCAGGCTGAGGATGTTTACACGCAGCTGGACCTGCTCCGTGGACATTAAGCTCTCCGAGGACCTCTCCTGCTAAGACCTCCAGCCTGAAGCTTCTTCAACTACAATAAAACCGTATTTTGACAATAGATAACAGTTTTCAGACGTTGTTCTCCTTGCCTCTGCACGAAGTCTTCTGTTTAGAACATTTGTATTAGCCGTGGGGTTAAGGAAATACCAAGCTTGTAAAACACAATGTGTTTGGCTCAGCTGAAACTAAAGATAGCAATCTGAGGCCTTTCCTCTGAACCTCAGTACTGACATTATTGACAACCACTATTTGAAAGAGCGGGAAACAACAACCAAAGCAATCCCATCACAATCTCTCCAGTTAGAATATAAAAGTGGTTATTTTGCCAAAGCAGAAGCCTGCCTGCTCTGACTTGACTTTTGGACATTGTTTTATTTTTATTTTTTTAATTCTTGTGCCTTTTTTAAGGAACAAAAAAAAAAACATCAGCTCTTTTTTGCAATTTCCACCAGATTTTATACATTTATGTATTTCTTTTAATAGGTTTTTTTTATAAGGAAATCTATTTTTGGAAACACGGTTCCTCTATGCAACCCACTTCTGTGATTACATGGGCAGTACCTCGTAAGTAGCCAGTCAATAATTGCATTCAGCAGATGTAAACATTACTGTAGCCTTATTTACCTGTAAATGAGCAGCAAAACAAAAGTGTATTTTACCTATTTGTACTATAAAAACCATGCAAATATACATCATGAGTGATTTATATCTGACATAAGTTAAGTTAACAGGGTGAAATCTTGTCTTTAATGGCAGACACACTGGAATATGTTGGCACATAGGACGACAACAAATGCCATGGTTTTCAGTCGAGGTTTAATTATGATTCATTTGTTACTATGTCTTTCATTTATTACTATATGACAAACAACTTGCACTCGTTTATATTGACAGTGCTGAAAGTAAAAACTGTGCCTTTTTAAAAATACAATCGGACAGAGAATTGTGTTCTGCCTGAGAAGAGATTTGTGGGCCTACACACTGATGTGTCATGCTGAGCGTGAGAAAACACTGTCGAGAGCAAGTGTAATGCCATTGGGCTGTGGTACTTGCAGTGCAACACTTGAAAATATCAAATTTGTGTGAGTGTTTTTCTATATTTATTGGCCAAAAATCTGTATTGTCCAGTACTTCTTAATGCTTAACATTTTATATTGTAATCCGTTTGCCTACCTTGAGGCTGACCTTGTGTTTTTATCTGTGCCTAAATAACACAAATTTCGCTGTCACAATTCATAGATAATTCAAATACTCAAACAGTTAATCAAGCAAACCAATACATGTAGATGCAAGATTCAATCAGCAAGAAAATGTTTTTTTTCGTTTTTAGTTCAGTGCAACACATTTTGTGGGGTTATGTTTCCTGGGTAATGTGGTTTTTCTATGATGTTTAATGTCTGATGCAATTATTGCCTGCATGTTAGAAACTAAAAGATGACAATGAATTTGTACCAGTTGTGATGACCAAAAGTATTTGTTTAGAAAGTCACAATTTGTCTTTGTGTATCAGAAAAAATCCAACTCATTTTGTCTACCTGGTCTGACCAAAACTCTAACAGATAAGGTGCTACCAGTTTTTATATTTAAATAAAAATTAGGTTATATTATTCTGTCTGTGTGTATGTTTTCTTCCCTTTGACACTAAAGGACGCATCTCTTTGTTAATTATCCTTTTAAATCACTTAATATTAAATTGCTTCAAATAAATGCTGTTCTCAGTAGCCTACTACTTGCAGACGTAAAGAAATTGGTTTTCAACAGATACAGTTGTGGTAGTAAACTAAGTACATTTACTTAAGTAGGCCTACTTTATAAAACAATTGTACGTCTTTATTTGAACATGTATACTTAAGAACTACATACCTTTTCAGAAAAAAAACTATCCTTTTTATACTACATGTCGATCGCTATCGATTTATGATTTTATTTATAATTTCAATTTGCCATAATAACTTTTTCAGGCCATTGAAACTCTGAACCCTTGAGCTCAGTAGGCTACTATTTTCTGTTTACTTTTAAACCATCCCTTTACCCATAGCCTATACTTTCGTGTATAGCCTATGTATTTATATTTTTGAAACTAGTTCACCATTTCTTTCTTCTGTCTTGGATCCAGATTGTGCTTTAATTGGCCTAATATTTTAAATTATAGATGATCATTTTCTGAGCATTTCTGGAGGGTGCCTGAGGCATTTTTCTTTGTATTGACAACGACCCCTCTGCTGCGCACATGATAAGAATAAAGACAGTGAATACATTAACTGATAGCCCACTCACTTAAAGTACATGTGTATTTCACTAAAAGCATTATAAATCCAAACACAGTGATTAATTAACGTTCAATGTATTATTTCAATGGGAAATATTCAATACGTTGCACGCAGTTGCACCTAATGATGGATATCTTCAAACTCAATTACACTCTTATGTTTTAGGTTGCATCAGCCTTATTTTTATTTAGTACTTCATAGTTAAGGAAGCTTCTTTCAAAATAATTAATATATATTATGGTGGAGCCAAATTTCGTACGTTAACGATATCAAATACATAACAATCCTTGTTTTTCTCCAGTTTGGGATGGTGCGGTTGAATTTACGAGTCGGCCATTTTAGGTGTACCGGGGACATTTCTCAGTGACACACCAGGAAGTACTCTTTAATATAAATGTTTTTTCTCTCTGTAACGAGTAACAACACATGTGTTTAAAAGATCAGTAAATGTAAAAATAGACTTCTTAATTAGTACGTCCAGTAGCTACGTGGTGACAACGTCGTATTTTACATTTGTACATAAAAGGACTACAGATTTCGGGGCGTTTCCATAGTGACATCACGGAGGCAACTGACACGTAACGGCTAATGTTTTGTTGGGGGAAAAAATAAAAGTGAACAGGAAGAAGAAAGGCTGCCAAACAGTTGTTATCTTGTAGCAGAGCAAAGGTAAGCGCTATCTTTTTGGTAGCTTTCTGGGTTTGTTTTATCGGTGTATCGTATTAATGTCAGCTGTAACATTAACATCTTTATGTGCTGAAGATTGAACGACACGTCGAGTTATGTTAGCCACTTAAGCTAGCTTGGTATTTAACTGAACGCTTAGCTCGCCAGAAACGCTAGCCGTTAATATGATAGTCTCCTGCGTCAAACACATAGTTCAGCTGTTGTTGGATAACTAATCCCTGCTGCCAACAACACATTTATTTATTGACAACACGATGGCTTTTGATTGTGTTGCCAGCTAACGTCTGAATTGTTAAACATGAATTGATAGCATTAAAAGCTACTTAGCACGATAAGCACTCATCGCTAGCATTTTAACCTGTTGTGCAATTTAATGGTGCAATCCGTCATCTAACTTTTAACTATCGCACTTTGATCTGCGACATGGGTGTGTATCATATCTTGTAGAAGCAGTATTTAGAGTAACATTTGGTGTAAAGTAACTAAGTAGATTTACTCAAGAAATGTACTTAATTACAATGTCGAGGGACTTGTACTTCACTTGAGTATTTCAATGTTTTGCTACGTTGTACTTCTACCCCTACAATTCAGAGGTAAATAGTGTACTTTTACTCCACTACATTTAGTCAACACATTTACCAGCTTTGATAAACACTTTATTGCATCGTTAACTATAATATTTCATATATATATATTATTCTGAAATTGGCTAATTTGTACTTTTATTTTTGGTTCTTTAAGTATATGTTGATGCTAATAATTTTTTGGTTGTGTAACATTTTCAATGCAGGACTTTTACTTGTAACAGAGTATTTCTACACTGGTATTTCTACTTTCACTTAAGTACTTCTTCCACCTCTGCTAATGTTACTTAGTTTAACGCATCTGTAACCTAATACTATATGAAGTATGATGAGAAAATATGCCACAACAATGGTTAAGATTGAACTAAAATGTCTTCAAAGTGGACATTCTTTGGTCAAGTTATTACCAATACAACTTTGACATTTAGATAACATGAAAACACACTTTAGCAGTCAGATTTTTATTTTAAAAAGTGAAACGTGTAAACATTGGGTTTATTAATTCAAAATAATTGACATTCAATTCAAATAGCTTTATTGGCATGACCATAATGACATACAGTATTGCCAACGTTTTGTACAATTACAATGTCTATATATAAATATACATTTGGAATCTGTACTGTTATGTCCATAATCGTTGCTATGAGTTCATAGATGCACAACATACTTTACTGTGTTGTGATAGTGCTCATTTGATAGTTACTGATATACAATAAATGCTCGGTTTGTTTTATTTGAGTGCTTCAGTAGTTGTAAAATACTTTTGATTCTGACCGTGAAAGTTGAGAGAAAGACTAATCATTAACATTTCTTTTCATAGGAGACTTTGTCCATTCAAGAATCACTTCAGATCTCGATCACTGGCGCCATCATGAACGTGTTCGACCGCAATATCAACTTTGACTCACTCTTCAAGTTCTCCCAAATGTGCGTAAATATGCCGTAGATCGCTAACTCATTAGTCCGCCCTCCATCATTGTTGACTGTTATCTTTTTTCTCTCCATTGCAGATCTCACTCCACCCAGGTGCACTTGAAGAATGTGTACTCCAGCCTGGCATTGTGTATGTTTGTGGCTGCGGCTGGCTCCTACGTCCATGTCGTCACACGCCTCTTTCAGGTGATTCTCACAAGATGCAACTTCCTGTATATCATTGCAAATAGAGTTCTTAAGCAAAACACAGATAATGATTCTTTATCCTACCTCACCGAACCCTATCTGTGCAAATGTTCAGTTACCCATGGGGTTGAAACAGTCCGTTTTCTCATTAGCAAATTATAGGAAGTTGGTAAATGATTTAATTTGAGTCCAGCCTAATCCAGTTTTGGTTTAGTGAAGTTGACCCAGTTAATCTTTCCATGTTTATTTAAGTTGTAGATGTTTTAAACAATAGCTGCACACATTGATTCGAGGCATTTGCTGTGAAATATAGCAGCTCTTCTTACCTGAAGGGTAAATGTTTTATCTTAGGAAAGTAAGTAATATTTTTAGTGTAAGGTTTTGAACACTTGGAATGATTCTTAAATCAATGTCTTTTGTGAAGTTCTCAGTGAGCATTGGAAACACTGCTCAGCCATTGAGCACATACTTTGCAGTGTACTCGCCTCTATCCATGTTTCATGCAACAACAATCATGTTCCTGCAGACAAAATAGAAACTAAACTGAACAGGCTGTATTTGTTTTTGCTAACCGCATTTCCCCGTTGTTACACGGTGTCCGCGGGGTCTTAAAAAGTATTAAAAGTTGATAAATAAATGTAAGGCTATTGAAAAGTATTAAACGTCATTTTCCAAGGTATCACATTTTGTAGCTTGTTTTCAATAAGTATATCAATTGTCCAAAGAGGTTGTATTCTACAGTCTGCCTGAATGTAATCATTGCGTAGGTGTGTAGTGTGATTCTGTGTAGTTTATTTATGGCATCCCGTTGGATTTGACGTCATCTGAACAGGACATCGCACGCTCACTGCTTGATAGCGCACGAAGGTCCGTTTACGCCGGTTGCTAAGCGACATCGTTATGGGGAAATGCAAGTCTGCGTCCAAATGGTTGGAAGATAAGGAGGAAGGACAATCAATACTGTATATAGTCAATGTGAGGTAAAGTGTGTCGCCAAGGTAACCGGTTAGAACTCAAAGTGGCGATGAGGTCTTAACATGTATGGAAAGGGTCTTAAGAAAGGTCTTAAAAGAGATTACATCTGACTTCAGGATTCCTGCATATACCCCGTTGTTATTTTGGGAGTAATCGTTTTAATAATGGATAAATTATCTCATGGCCTCAACGTGAAAGCATAAAAAGGATCATCGTTTTTGGAAAATATAATGGCTGCTCTAATTTGTGTCCGACATTTCTAGAGCTTTTTCTCCCGTGCGTCTTATCTTAACATGTTCTGGTGAAGGAACAGAACAGTTAAAGTGTTTAGTGCTTGAGAAAACGAGGTCACACCACCAATTCTAAACTGATTGTATCAAGATAAGTTTCCCCATTTAAAAACAACTATTTAAAAATGTCAAACATGTGTTGAGTTTATTACATCGGACGCTATTAGATGTCAAAAAAGACAGAACTTTATTCCTTTGAAAGGCCTTTTTCTATAATATTTGTAACTAATGGTTATTCTGTTGCTTCAGTCATAATGAATTTGACTTCAGAGAAGAAGCCTTGAGTGTTAATGTAGCTTATCTCACCACCTCGCCCTTGTCCTCAGGGAGGTCTGCTGTCCGTGCTCGGCTCCCTGGGCATGATGTTCTGGCTCGCCATGACGCCTCACAACTCTGAGACGGAGAAGAAGAGACTGGCTATCCTCGCTGGATTTGCCTTCCTCACAGGTAAAGTACTGATTTCACGTGGGCAGGTCAAATGGTCTCACAGCTGTCTTTGGGAATGTACTGTCCGGTAAGAGTCTAAAAGCAGCGTTTGTCTTCCTCTCCCTCTGCAGGTGTTGGCCTTGGTCCCACTCTGGACTTTGTCATCGCTGTCAATCCAAGGTTTGTGAGAAGTTGCTCAATGTTTAATATACGTGCAGCCCACAGCTGGCTGAGTAACAGTTTGACATTATACAAACTAAACACCACTAAGTCTAGTATTGTGTGACGATTGATAGCCATCTTTTCTGTGACTCTCCCCCGCTGTCTCACGGAGAGATACCGCAGGTCTTCCCTTCCTGCAGCGCGGTCAGACTATACAACCAGCACAGCCCCTAGCTGCCCACCCCCACACACANCGTTTGTCTTCCTCTCCCTCTGCAGGTGTTGGCCTTGGTCCCACTCTGGACTTTGTCATCGCTGTCAATCCAAGGTTTGTGAGAATTTGCTCGATGTTTAATACCTGCAGCCCACAGCTGGCTGAGTAACAGTTTGACATTATACAAACTAAACACCACTAAGTCTAGTATTGTGTGACGATTGATAGCCATCTTTCCTGTGACTCCACACACACACACACACACACACACACACACACACACACACACACACACACACACACACACACACACACACACACACACTATATCACCCCTTGCTGTTAAATACCAACCACCTATGTGCAATATGTTCTAGATGTGCAATATATAGATGCCGTTAATAACTGTGTAATATATACCTGTCTGCTAAATCCGTAGAACTGTTACAGGATGTGTATTTTTTGTAAATTATGTAACTTTTTATTTTTTATCATATTTTGTATTATATCATAACTTAGTACTTTTTTTTTTATGCATGTCACATATTTAACTATGGAACATTAAGCTGTCTGGCTCTTTTCCCTGCTGTAACTACGCACATTTCCCCTCCGTGGGATAGGGTTGTGCAATTAATCGTATTTGAATCTCAATTACGATTTTGTCTTGCAACGATTACGAAAACAACGTAATCGAAATAAAACGATTATTCTTTGTAATGTAATATATTTTTTTAAAATAATTTGTTGGAATTGGTTTTTCAGTTGAATTATACTTAAAGTTCAGGGTAATAATCAATGTTAAAAACATATTGTTCACATTTTTTTCCCCAATACATTTATGTTTTCAAAGTAAATCGATAATCGTTTTTAATGATCGTGATATCAATTATTGACAAATAATCGTTATTATGATTTTAGCCCTACTGTGGGACTAATAAAGGGATTCTGACTCCGTTCAAATCCGATGAAACGTTTTTTAAAAATGTCTCTTGTGGTTTCTTTCTCCTCAGCATCATCATGACGGCTTTCATGGGAACCTCCATCATTTTCGTTTGCTTCACTCTGAGCGCTCTCTATGCCAAACGCAGGACCTACCTGTTCCTGGGAGGTAAACGCTTTCATTTACAACATGACTTTAAATGACCCCAGTTTTCTAGCTCCCAGCCTATTAAACCCATTCTCCCTTATCTTATTCTCCTCCTAAGGCACTCTGATGTCTGGCCTCTCCCTGCTGTTCCTGATGTCTGTGATGAACCTGTTCTTCGGATCTGTGATGCTCTTTAAGGTAGATAAACCAAGTCACACCATTCCTCAAGACGTGCTCATTCAGCCGTGTTTCATGATGTGTATGAGTCATCATCTAACGTGTGTGTTGCGTTCTCTCCCCACAGGCTCACATGTACCTCGGGCTGCTCATCATGTGCGGCTTCGTCCTGTTCGACACTCAGCTCATCATCGAGAAAGCAGAGAACGGAGACAAGGACTACATCTGGTGAGGACTTGTTTGTGTGATAACCAAATGCCATGCAAATGCACCCTCCCACAGTGAGGCGGACAACTTTGCATCATTGCTTTGAAAACTCGCTCCTTTTCAGAGTTGCTGCGTAATGACTTTATTCAAATGATTGCTTTTTTTCAAAGATATAGAATGTTTGGTTGTGTTTCTTTCTGGTTATCCCCATTGGCTTCTATTGATTCTAAAACAAACTGTATCTGCGTAGGCACTGTGTGGACTTGTTCCTGGACTTCATCACCATCTTCAGGAAACTGATGGTCATCCTCGCCATGAACGATAAGGTACCCAGTCTGCCTCCTCATTCTCTTTCTGGAAGGTCCTGGTCTGCTCATGTTCTGAGTGTCAACCAATCCAATGAAGAGACCCAAAGCTATAAGAGGCGCTTTCACACCGGAGTACTTTTCCCGTTTAGTTCCGATAGTTCCTGGGATTTTGCGTTCACACCAAAAAGAGAACTTAGTTCAGAGAACTTTTCCCCCCCTTGTAGTGCCTGCTAGAGAGGTGGAACTATCCACGCCCGTAAAACTCTGAAAAGTTTTGTGAACCCGCTATTTTATTTGCTGGCATTAGCATTATTAGCATTAGCATTAGCCCCGCGCAACAACGGAGAGAGACTAACTTATGGCAACACAAAATAAAACATGGGAGCGGTGGAGATGAGGAGGTGTCTGCATCCTAGAATCAGTAGATTCTACTGAAGCCTTCCCCAACTCCGGGGACTTCCGGCCGGGGACTCCGGGTGGCAGTATACGCCGTGAAGTTGTTTGCGGCCTGCCAGTAAACCCAAAGCAGAAGAAGAAGAACTGACAGCGGCTCATTTGCTTAATCTTCCCTCAGGGACTTATTCCGGTGTGAATGCGATCTGCTCTTTAGTTCATCAGAACTAAAGAGTTCTGATGAACTAAAGAGTGAACTAAAGAGTTCTCATGAACTAAGTACGGCAAAGTACTTGGTGTGAAAGCGCCTATTGCCAATACATTACATCTGATTGCTGAGACGTGGCTACAAAAAAAAAAACGTTCGTCTGGTAAATTAGCGTCTTATTACCATCCATAAGTGTATTATTTGTGACTTTATTATTTTTTTTTTTTTTTCTTTTACAATCAGACAAAATCAAACTACTTTTAAGCTGAGAAAATGTCGGCAAGAATCATAACCGTTTGGGAATATCAATTTTTTACAAGTATGTTTATTTTGATGCATTTTATTGCTCTTTTTTTATAGTAGCGGCTGCCTCTCTCAATCAGCAGTCCATAAACAATTATTTTTATTTGGTTGGCTTTGCTTTTTTCATTTTGTATATTTGCTCTTTTTTTAGAATTTTAGTAAGATTGCATTTCATTTTATAATAATCTTAAAATAGAGTGATTGGAAAAATAATCTAAATCTACGCTTTGAGAGTCTCCTGTGGTTAAGACTTCCCAATTCTTGGGCCATTTGCGCAAATTCAAATGTTAATGATTCGAGGCTTCTGTGTGTGGAATACTTGTTTTCGAGGTGATGCCAAATATTTCCAAGCAGAGGCGTACTAAGCACCACCATCACCACTGTCGAGGAGCAAGAGGATGACCCTACTAGCTCCCTGGGGTCCAGTTACGCTGCAGAAACCAAAACTTGAACTCACCGGCCAGAGGTCCACAACGCTAGCTCTTCGCTCCTTTAGAGAAGAAAAAGAAAAAGCCAGTTCCTGCAGCCAGCTCGCCCGCCGGCAGCGGTCACCATGGGGGAGACGGCTAGACTCACCGTTAGACTGTCGCGGCCCTTTCGCAAACGCCCGAGAAAACCGACGTCTAATGGTTCAGCAATGGAAAAGGCGATTTCAGAGCTCGTCCCATATACACGGCTGAATAGAGGAGAAAGGAGGAGTATCACGTTAGTCCATCCACAAAGGCTCACAACCGAGTATGGGGCGAGTAACTCCTGCACCGCGCCCACCGATTAGGCCAGACAACCTGCACGCACGTACTAGAGTTAATAGAAGGCCATGATGTTAGCCAGGCCGGAGAATGGGTAGAGATAGATGTTAAGAATCAGCGTGGTCAACCTCCCAACGTTCACCAGTTCAGATCCAACCTGTGGGCTGCTCAGAGAGAGAGCGTTTCGCTTTAGTTATGCAAGCGCCAGCGGTGACCAATGCCCGATGTGAGCGGTGGTTCAACAGGGGGCCCCTTTCCAGATCCAGCCCAGTAGAAACTGTAATCGTTAAAGCCCAACCCATGATGGATCTGGCTTTGTCCAATATTAAGAGCGTCAAACAGAAGATAGCGGCTTGCTACACATGGCAAAGCCCTCCAACCAGTTGGTGAGGCGTCCCTGTATTTTGGGCAGAGCTGCGTTGTTCAGAGAAACTGTCTCTGTTTCAACGGAAACAGGAGCAGGTGACCACAGGTTCAGAAGAAAGGCTATAAGGTTTCAATGACAAGAACAAGGCAAGGCAGAGTCCGTCCCTGTACGCAGGTTTTAGCCTCCCGGTCAGGACAGTCAGGTCTGATCAGATGGTTTAACCCATCGGGACTGAAGAGCAGCAGGTCATTCAGTGAGCCAAGTGGGCCCGCTAGAGAAAGCTAGATATCTCCGGGCGCCACTATCGCACCGTGAGCAGCTGAGCCCACGCAAGCAGCAGTGCTCCAGTCCTCTTGAGGTAGAGGAGCCGGGTGTAGCGTGGTTCCCACCCACCCAGCTCAGGTTCCACAGTACCTGTGAAGCAGGCTTCAACAATCGGCGGCGTTTACGTCGCTCCGTCGAGGAGGTCAGGAACTTCAGCAGAGCAGACACTGTGACCGCCAATTCTGAGGCGCGCTGAGGTCATCGAGCTTCAGCGGCTCGGAGAGGAGGTTCAATGGTGATGTCCGCTGTCGCTGAG